GGTAAGAATTAAGTGTAAGGCTGTGTATGACTTCATAACGTCTTAGCCGTCCCAAAGTACGCATTAATTCTAGTTCGCCTATGCAATGATATATTTTCTTAACATCAGTGACTCCTTAGGTCATCACATGAATTATATTAAGTCTGGAAACGACTTTGTACTTTCCTTGCCACCTCAGAGTATACATCAGTGTACAGAGCTGTGACGGCACGTGCAGAGAGCTGGGGTGTGTTACAGTCCTCGGAAATCTTACTCTTTACAACCACCCAGAGTGCTGCTGTGAGATCCTGTCTCACTCGACATCAGGCAGCAGGCTTGAAACCTAGCAGAAGCCAAACCAAAGTCTGTCAACTCTTCCTAAATGAATTTACAAGTGAGGAATGGGGGAATGAGATGAATGGCATGGGATGGTTGCGCATGAGTGCGGGGAAGCAACTAAAAATATTTGTAGAGATCTAAGTACACCACCCCAAAAATACACACATACTTTCCACCATTTAAATATCTTGTCTCTGGGTGGAAGCCAAACATTTTTCTATTTATTTCCACGTATGCCACCAAGAGACTAAGGAATTTAATTGCCTAATTCAAAATGTTAAGAAAATACCAGAAGGCTGAAAGTCCTGGAAAAGGACAAGGTGTTAGGAGGATGTTAACTCATCTAGCATCGTCTGCTGAAGAAAGGAAAGCGTTCCTGGTTGCTGGTGCTGTAAGCTCACTCTCAGATGATTTGTGAAAAAGGCTGCATTTGGTCTGTAGGAGAAGCCAAGTTCTGCCTGTGATAAGCACTGCGAACACATGCAATGACACTTCTTGTTTCCAGGCATCCTGACAGCTACTTCCAATTTGCATTTCTAAGTGGAATTAGCAGAGAAAGGAGATTTACACGTTCTTTGCTGGTTGTTGGGCTGACTGGTTTGGTTTGTGCTCCATGCAGGGAGGCTCCTGTAGAAGCCCAAACTTGCCAGTTAATCTTCAGACAGAGTGACAGGAGGTATGACCTGTGGCTGAAGACGGTGGCAGATTTATATGCTCAGGATACTTGTGCCACAAATTCCCTGTGTGACGTTACGCAAGTCATTCAGACTGTTTCGGACTTACTCATTTTCACAACAGGGAAAAGTCAATTTGTCCTATTTGAATTACAGCTCTCTGAGCAGAGTGAGAGAAACTTTTTACTACTGAGTGATCAAAGGTGGCTGGGCGAACCCTCCTCATGCAAAAATTCTGCCCCTGAAGACAACACCGAGCAGCTACAGTCACTCCTGAGAAATGCTCGAAACTGTTACCTTAGCACATGGCAGGAAAACAGAGCTGTTGTAGCCAGAGGGACCCACACCGGTTACCCCTCACAGTTGCTCTCCATTCTCCCTGCAATTTCTGAACTGACACTGCTTTTATGAGGCTTGTTGGAAGTATTTAGAGGTTTCTCAAGTGAGCACAGCCAAGAAAATCCTCTCTTTGCCCTCTGTCTCCTCAGTTTCACAGGCTACAAGCGTACAAGTTCACACAGGTAGGACTGCTGGGGTAACGTGTCTGAACCCAAGGATGCCTCCCCAGGAGAAAGACCTGGGGGTGAACTGGGTTGGCACTGCTCCTGCTGCCAAAGCAGGGAAAGGAGAGGCCAGAAGAGCCGTTCTGACCCAGGCAATGGCAGCAGCACATTTGGTGTCAAATCTGTTTGCTATGAAATGCCAAGCTGCGTTTGTCAGCACCTAAAACAGCCTGGGTGAAAGGACATTATTCTGAAATGTAATTTGTATTATATCTACTAGTGAAATACTTTTTTTTTTTTTTTAAAGCTGTAAAATATTCAACCTTGTTTCATATGGTTTCAAGCTCACAATATCCGTGCTCTCTCCAAACTTAATCTCCTTGATTACATCTCGCCAAGAGGACAGTACCTGCCCCAGATGATCAGCAGCAGTAAGCCCGGGATCTCTGTGTTGATTAGGCTGCAGAAGGTTGGTTGCCTTCCATGGTGCCTTGCATCTTAGTGGTGTTTGCATTTTCCATGGATCCAGGGTCCGAATGCACCGTTTACTGGTTCAGTTTAGAAGTCTTCCTGCCATAATTAATCAAGACGGTATGACGAACCATAAGCAACGGGCCATCAGAGTCCCTTTGCCCTCAGTTAGCTGCAGAGAGAGCCAACACCAACACAGACCAAAGGACTTTGTGTGCAACGAGAGTCCTCCTGAACACAACACCTGACCCACAGTGCATATGCTTCTCGTCAGGCCCGCAAAGTCTTTTTTTAAGAAAACCAGTAACAAATATACACTTGTATCATAAACAGAAATCTATGTTTATATGAGCATGTATTTCTAGAAATGCATGAACACAAATATAAACCGATAATAAGCCAATGTGGACTCAAGATTACAGCAAGGCTGTGACAAAATGAAACCACAGAGGTTATCCATGCAAGTGGCACGTCACCCTGTGTGCTGGGCGGGCGTAGATGGCACAAAGCACTGCTCTTACGGGAAACAAATCTTTTATCCAAGGACATGTATAGTTTGGCAGGAGGGCCATGAAGATGATCTGAGGGCTGGAGCGCCTCTGCTATGCATACAGGCTGAGAAAGTTGGGGTTGTTCAGCCTGGAGAAGAGAAGGCTCCAGGGTGATCTTATTGCAGCCTTCCAGTACTTAAAGGGGGCCTACAGGAAAGCCGGAGAGGGACTTTTTACAAGGATATATAGTGATAAGGGGCAATGGCTTTAAACTGAAAGAGGGTAGATTTAGATTAGATCTAAGGAAGACATTTTTTACACTGAGGGTGGTGAGGCACTGGAACAGGTTGCCCAGAGAAGCTGTAGATGCCCCATCCCTGGAAGTGTTCAAGGCCAGGTTGGATGAGACTTTGAGCAACCTGGTGTAGGGGAGTGTGTCCCTGCCCATGACAGGGGGGTTGGAACTAGATGATCTTTGAGGTCCCTTCCAATCCACACCATTCTATGATTCTGTGATTCTTTACACACTGCTCAAGGCAGCTTCGTTATTCAGCAGTGAAATGAGCAGCAGCACAGAAAAAACAAGTGACAGCTTGGTTGTGTTATCGCCTTGGTTGGGTTCTTGCTTACAAGAAAACCAAAACTAGGCTATTCAGAAGCGCGTTGTGTTGGCCTGACTAGCTCCCATTGGAAACAACTGTAAAAATTCCGCTATACTCACTGGTTTTCCTCCACTTTCCTCAGTTGATCGGCCGCAGCCTGGTGTCTGTTTTAACTGGGTTATTCCTCTTCCATCTTCCATGTTAAGCCTCTTGGAGCGGGGACAGCAGTGCCAGCCGCCCTGGCGGTGTCTGCCCCCCAAAATGTGCAAAAGGGTTGAAAACCACCTAAAAAACACTTGAAAACAACACCTGCCCCATGCTCCCCGCTGTGTTTGGGCAAGTATGGCCCGTGCCCAGGGCTGGCAGCATTTGCCACCGAAAAACATGGAATAAATCCCTTTTTTCCCTAGGAAACTCCCAGGTGTTAGGGAGGCAGTTCCAGTGTTGCCCAGCACTGTTTCATTTTCCCCTCGTTTTCCAGCCAGCAGAATAACAATAACCAGTGTCATTTTGATATGATGTATTTATATTTACATGGTACATTTTAAAGCAATAGCTACACTGATCATACATATTAGAAACAATAAAAAAAGAAGTTAAGAACTAAAATGTACATCATACACTTGTATATATATTTTTTTTTACACAGAGGTAAAAAGGCTTATAAAAATCAATACAACAGGGTTTTAACTTTTAGTATATAGATACAATAATGATGAGGCTTCAGGCACTTTAATTTGTTAACGTGAGCGATAGCTTGGAAAAAAAAAAAACAAAAAAACTTTCCACAACGGAAAAAAAAAAATGTGGTTAATGTTTTGTTACCACAGATACAAAAATAAAAATCTGAATAATTTCTCTCAAATGATTGATGTCAGTATTGCAAAGCTGACTGGGAGAACGCTACACACTGTTCAGCAGCAGTGTGGAAATTAAGGAGAAATATTTACAAAAAAACACCCATTTCTATCATTGTGCCCTTACACCACTGCCTTCACAAACCAAATAACACACGCAGCAAAATCTACAAGTATTACAAAAACCCAAGAGAAGAGGGAGGAAGGAAGAGGGGAATTAAAAAAAAAAAAAAAAAAAGAGGGATTTTTTTTAAAAAAAAACTTTTATTTCCAGACATACAGAAAGGCTTGGAGTATGTCTACTTTACTTAAATAAATAGGGGCACTTCAAGACCGGACAAAAAGCTGTAAGATCTTTTTGTAGTGTTGTGCTTTATAGAGAGAAGATCTTACAGATGTTTGTTTACATGAAACAACTTTGAGAACAGAAATAAAAGGACAAGGTTGTTCCATTAATATTTGTTTTTTCGAGGCTGGCTTGATGTTTACTAGACACCATTGAGAGATTTGTCAACTGCTATTAGGCACAAAATATTTATATTTCATTCAGCAAACCCAGACACATCACACCCAGAGTGTAACACTCCATCCCTTTTCCACTATCATAATTCTTTTTTTTTCTTTTCCCCCAACTGAAAAAATCCCCACCAACTGCTACGAATTAAGCCTACCAAACTCTACAGTGTATAAGCACATTGCATACTTAATTCATGGTTGACTAAAAAGCTGTGATTGACTCTCAGAGGAACTGTTGGGACATTCCACCAAGAAAGAATGGCAAGCGTTCCTTTTACATTTATTTGGCAAATTAATTTAAAAAAGAAAAAAAAAAATTCCTCTCTTTTAAGACTGATGTCAATGTGCAATAGAGGGAGGGAAAGGACATGCGCCCACTGGCAATTTACTGCAGAAAGAAATTATGGCAGGGGGTGCCGCTTTTGAAAAGCCAATCCCTAGCTGCCTCAAAGTATTCAGATTGTACTATGCTAGTTAGAGCTCACTGCGCTAAATCATTTTTTTTTCTTAATAAAAATTATTTGGCTATTCCTTGTAATATATTAGAAAAATACTCTTTTTCCAAGCTAATTACAAGCCTTGTACACAAGACAACATGACATTAAAAAAAAAAAAAAAAAAAAGAAGTAATTTTATCCTGCTGTATGCACCTTATGCATCCACTTGATAAATCTGGGTGGTGAACTGGGGAGGGGAAAGCCAGGGAGACGCTTCGGTCTGGCTCCTGCAAAGACTCACATGCTTAATCCTGCACACAGGCTGACAGAAACGCCGCTGCACGCGCAACGCGTCGAGACGTGTAAGCATCTGGAGGATTGGGACCGCAGGTCAGAAAATGGAAGTGGTGGTTAACATCCTGGCTTTCGATTTTACACACCTGTTTAGACTGCTAAATGTAGTTTCCACCGTAGACACGTATGTTCTCATGCTCATGTATTATACAGAAAACAAACGAACAAATACGATTTTCCATATAATCTACCACTTAATGCAGCATTTCCCCAGAATTGCCATAATAGTGCTTCTGACATTGCATTGTTAGTAATTCTTTGCATAACAATAATTTTCCTCATCTGGAACCTTAGTGTTTTATTCACAGATCATTACATGGCTAGCTAATGAAGAAGTTCCCTTCTTTTGGGCAGAACTCCGAAAACACAGTTTTAGTTTTCCAATGTTATTTAGGGAAAAAAAGAAAACCCTAACATTTAAGTTTCCCTTTCAAGTAGTGGTCTGAAATGATTACAGGTAAGGAGAACTACCAGATTCTCAACGGTTATGTGACTATGGTAACTGAGCCTTGGTTTCTGTTCACAGAGCTTCACGAACAGAGAAATAATTTAAGATGTTTGCTGAAGGAAATGACGATGGACTCTAGAAGAGAAACGGCAGCTTAGATGGCTATTTTGGCTTTGGAAAACAGAACAAAAAACCCAAAGAAAACCAGTGACAGAAATACTGTGTTGTGGTACAAGTTTGTTACTAGCACACCTTCTATACACACACAATAACTTGACGGCAAGTTAAAATACCTTCTGAGTGAGATTTTGTCCACTACACCACCCCGTTTCTAGAAACGCCAAAGCTTGCTAACGTGCTGATGGTACTGCACAAGCAGAGGCGAGATGGACACAACCTGGAGATGTTCTACAATCCACCACCATTTAAAGCAGTTCTTTTCTCAAACTCATTTTAACTGAAAAAAAAAAAAAAAATATAAACATGTACAAGACAGTCTGTTTTGATTACAGATTAATAATACAAAAGTCTATGCTGTAGGTTAGTTAGTTAGAACACTTGATGAGCAAATCAATGCAGTGTGAGCCCCAGACGACCGGATGCAAAGTGATCTGAACTGGTGGTTTCTGGATGCTGTCGGGCACAGTGGCTGCATCAAAATGAGTGATCTCAATGCTCCAAAACCAACGTGTTCCTTGAACTACAGGAAAAACGTAACACTTCGAATGCATCTGTAGTCATCCAGCAGCTTTGTGTTTTCCACCACAGCACCTGCACATGACCCCACAGTGGTAACAAGCCCGGAGCGGCAAGTAACAGCACATACATGGAGCAATGAAAGACAAGGCGATAAGGGCCATCCACCGGAGGCAAAACATTTCATCACTGGTGTCGCACGAGCAAGGATCCGTATAGTCTCCTTCTGGATCGGACATACAGTGATAGAGCATAGTGTCTGCGCACCACATACAGCTCACTCGATGGATGCAAGTCTTGACGCGGTCTGGAGCATCCTGGCATTGACCCCGTTTGTTCTCCTCGTGGTTGAACATGTCCCTGCAGTACACGCACCGCGACCTCTCACCATCTTCCTTCCGCCTGGGCTTGAATTTGACAGGTTGAGTCTTTATCACAGCACCCTTGATATCTTCACCCAGGTCAAAGTCCGAGTTGTCTACGTAAGGGTAAGTGTATTCGTGTTTTGAGGCCTCGCTTTTGGCAAAACGTACGTAGGAGTCCATGTCATCAGGATCAAAGTTCTTTCCTCGTGCTGGGGCATGGCGGTAGTCCTCGTATCCAGTCATCCAAATCTTTTCCCGAGGATTGATGCGCACTATCTCCTCGTCATCATCTGGAAAGTTGACGTGCCGGTAGGATCGCGGTACTGACTGTGGAAGTAAGGATGGAGATGAAGAGGCAGAAAAGATAAATAAGCTCACTTCGCTATTAGCAATCACTGCCTCTCTGCTTAATGAAAAGCCAGTATTTAACAATTTTGTCTTTCCTTCTTTGTACACCCTCTGCCGTGACCCATCATAGAGTTTCAGCCTCTGGCTCAGGAATGAGTACAACTGTCACAGACCTACAACGGTCTGTGGGCACACAGTACAATGTAAGATATTAAATCACAGTGTAACCTTTTTTTTAAAAAAAATAACTGCAAGCCTTTTAAAGCTACCTGAGAAGGGAAGGGGGAGAAAGGAAGGCGGAGTCTTTCAAGGATGTGGGAGGAAAACCAAACACTGGTCTTAGCTATGGCAGACACAGCCCTTTAGGTGGCAACACGGGGAAGAAACCTTACTTGTTCTAGATGGTAGTGGTCAGAGCTATAATGGTCGTGAAGGTGTCCACGAGTGCAAATTCTTCGATGTTCGCAGGATGCAGGAGAAGCCAGAGTTCGCACAGGCTGTTCCCTTTTTTGAGAGGAGTTAGAGGAGCTATCTGTAGCATTCTGTTTTAAATGGAAAGGGAGGAAAAAAATCATCACACGTTCAGCTGTTACTGCATGCGGTATTAAAAGAGATGTTTTTCCCACTCATGGACTTCATGCACACCTGCAATATTGGCAACACCTGACAGCAGGCAGCTTCACAGAGTTTCATGTAAAATACTTGAAAGAGGCAGATCTTTATGTTGCCAGGCCATAAAAGGTGTCGCCACACACGTGGAAAAATAATATGCCATAGCCTACCCGTGACAGATTCACCAACACCACTTGTATTCGCTTGGCATGTTGTTTGTTATACTGGGCATCGCGGGACGATGAGCGCGCACGCTAGAAGCTACCTCTGAAGAGCAAAGTTAAACTCCATCAAATGATGCAATCGTGTCAGTCCTGCGGGCAAACCCAGACAGAATGTGCACCCAGTACAAAAATACCAGTAATTTTGTTAACCTACAGTCGTCCCATTAAGCCAAAACTCCTTTACATGTTCTTCTCCAAACACTCACTGAACTCCTGTTCATCACGGGCTACTTGAATAATCAGCTTTTCTTTAAAAACTTCAGGTTTGTTGTTTCTTTTTCCCCCCCCTCTTTTTGTCGCTAATCTCTTATGCGACAAATCTCTCTTAATCTCTGCTCATGTTTTTATACATTCCTGGCTCATGGTGAGTACTTTCTTTTTAGTTACATCATTACACAACAATGATCATGAAAGGGTGAAATATCACGCCATAACATGCTGCTGCCAATAGCTGCAGCTTCTTAATATATGTATTTCTCCTCCTGGAGAAATAAATCCACAGTGGGGTACTAGTCTCAGTCATCCTCTCTCCATAGCCCTTCCTTGGTTAAAATAGCTTCCATCCAACCACTAGCCAGTCAGGATTTTGCCCGTTAATTTTTTTTGCAGATTGGTTGAGCTTTTTCGTATTACCATGAATATCAGAGGAGAGCTGTTAAATGCACTAACAGATCGGGAGCAGGAAAAAGAGCCTCCACACATGAGGGCTGTAACACCCCACGTGCCTAAAATATTGGTGCTTTGAACTAAGAAAAATCTCCATCCCATTCCAACTAACAAGCTGTGCTGCAGCTACGATGAGTCCAAGGGAAAGGTTTCCATTTACCGCAAGAGTTAGCCAGAGACACGACCTCAAGAGCGGCCAAAAGTTGTACCGGTAGCAGGAGAAGACTGGTTTTACCTGAAAAACCTTCTCTCCTTGTCAAGAATGCACTCTCTAAATATAATTTTCCAATGAATCGTACTAGACATGTCTCTTACTCCAAGAATACAAGAACACTCATTGTGGATATTTGTTTATTCTGAAAACAAGGCTCTGTCAGACTCTGTCCAAAGGTGATCACACCTTACAGCGTTACAACACAAACCAGATGCTGATCCTCTTTAACCGGTGTAGCACTTAGAAGCACCGAACTCCCGACTTACTTTGTTGAAAGCAAATATACAGATCTGTTTGCAGTGTGATGTAAAGCCAGGCTGGGTTATCTGAGGGGTACAACAAGCAGGATGAGTTTTGAATGGCTGACCCACCCAAAAGGAACAGACTTTTCATGTGTGTGTTTGTTTTGGTTGTTGTTTTTTTTTTTCTAACCAAGCACCTAGAAGCAGAACAACTCTTAAGATAGTTAACACCACCTATAGAATGTAACTGCACTGGTATTCAGGCTCTTTTTAAAATGCGGTTTCATCAGCCCAGTTTTCATAACTTCACGAAACAACTTCGTGTGAAGACACAGGCGCTTTGAATCCGGGGTTCAAACCCTTCGAAACTAACTCTTGTGCCTGTAACTTTAAGTCCTACAGTATTAGCGTATACTGGGGACAGTTCAAAAGAAAATTAGCAGTTTCTACAAGTACTTCCTAATAATATTAAGCTTCCGACCTAACTGGAACACCTGAGAAGAGTTAGGATTTAGTTCCAACAGCCAGCTTGTACGAGTACCTTTTTGCAGCCCTGTTACGTGGTGCAGAGCTGTAATTTAAGCTTCTCAGAACAACAACAGAAAGGCATACACCCCATAGCCTGGGCAGCCTCAGCCTGCAGCATGCTCTTCAAGTTAAACTTTGACTGGCACGAACCAAAAAGGAGGCAGGGCCTTCGCACAACGCCGTGCCAGCCAGCGGGACCCTTCACCTTCACTGGAACGGCAGCCAAGCCCTGCTGGGACAAGCCTTTCGTGGCTACGCTCTGAAAGCATCATGGGTGCTCACAGTCAAAATAACAAAGCTTGGGAAAATTACCCCACCAGAGGAGGTTGCATATATTGGCCTGCAACCCCCTCACCCTCCTAGATGAGAATAAAAAGCCCAAACTGCATTGTAACTACCAGCTAACCTCAGCAGGGCAGCTGGGAGCTCTAACCAGCCCTCCGAGCAGCGTGATATTTGCTGCCTCTCGGGGAAGGCAGTATTTCTGCAACAGGCTACTGGAAAAGAGGCTGTAGCGATTCGTATCTACCTGATCCTTATCTACCCTTGCTTTCCTCCACACCTTATTCTCCTTCAGACCTGGCAGGGCAACCGAGCCTCTCCTCCACGTGTGTTGACATGGCTACAAAACCTGTTTGCAGCATCCCACAGAGGCTGTGGCTCCAGCCTCCGCTTTCACCTCATTAAAAATTGCTGCATTTCCACGTTCAATGTCCTCAGATTAGAGGGGCAGTGTGCCAACACAAACACTTCCTCTAAGTGCCCACAAAGGGAGAAAGCAAGCTATCCCAGACCAGGTCTCTGCTCACTCGTCCGTAAAAAAAGTTCATGCTGTCTCCTGGTCGGTGACGCTAAAAGCAACTGGTTGACAAAAGGCAGTGTCTGCAGGGTTACTTTGCTGACCGCCGGCTGGGAGAAGCACTGTTACTTTCCAACAAGGTCCCCCATTAAAGCTTCAAACCTCTGTAGGAGAAGAGAAAAGGTTCTTATGACAAAGGAATGGTTTGAAGACCAGGGGGAGAAAGGTAGATAACAACCCCCACCCAAGCAGAAGGTCACCGATGAACCCCCAACAGGCTGCTCACCTGTGCTGATGAGCATACTCATCAACGATCTGAAGAGAGAGATGGACAAGAAGATGACGCAGCTTTCTGATTAAACTTAAGTTATTCGAGAGACTAAAAATGAAAGCTGACCCTGAAAACTTGCTTAAGATATCTCAGAATGCTGAGAGACTGGATGTTAAAACAAACAAACAAAAATTTAATTACCCCTAAAGCGCAAAGTGACAGAAACACCTTGATCTGACATGTACAATGATGCGCTCTGAGCCAGCTATCACTGCGCAGGAAAGAGGTCTTGGGGTTAAACCAGGCAGCCCTGTGACAGTGTCAGCTTCATGGCTCAGCAATAGATAAAAAAAAAAGCAGCAGCACAAAGATCATCGTCAAGGCATTGCATGTATATCTGCTGTACTTCCCCAGTCTGGCTGTCCCGGCCTCTCCACCACTCTGTGTCAATAAGGGTATTTCTACCATGGCAAGCTCACAGAGCAATGGTCAGGACACGGGATGTCTTCTCAGCAACAGCTACCCAAATAGCGTAGGTCTCTCCAGCCTGGAAAAGAGATGATGGAACGGATGATGGAAGATGGGAAGAAGTCTACTGAATTGTGAATCCGATGGGAACATGAGCAGGAAGAGATTATTCTTTTGGTATCCTTCAGAAGAGAAGAATGCGAGGCAATCACTGGAACAGGCTCAGATAAGGTTCAAACAAATGGAGGCACTTCTGACAAAACCCACAGTTAAAATGTGGTTCAAGAAGCCATATGGAAATCCTCAGAAGAAAACAAGTGACCGAGGATCAAAGGTGTGATGACGCTCAGGTCTTCAAAATGTACTGTTCTCTCAGTACCACTCCATGGGGACTGAACCTGCACTTGGTGACTGGCAAAACGCAGGCACGTTCTTAAAGAAAAGGTGCTTTCATTTTCACCCAAGTGCCACTACAAGCAAATGATGACAAGACTTCGTCAGTGATGGAAAAGGGAACAACTCCTGTCTCCCAGGACAAGACTGGGTCTTGGCTAGGATTTTTTACCACCAGCAGAACAGTGACAAATTTGGGGAGGATGGTAGAGAGGGGAGACATGAGAGGTTTGTTGCAGGTCACTCAAATACAACATACTCACCTATAGGAATACGTCTAGAAAGGACGTGGTCTCCAGATAGAGCCAAGTTATTTCACCGATGGAAAAACATGTTCCAAGCCACTGAGCCACCAGTCTATCAGAGAAACACTGTCTTCCTCTAAAGCCTGTTGAAACCAATCCAGCTCCAGTATTTGTTTTTGAGGGGAAACTACTGAAAACATGCCCAGTAGCCACATAAGAGAAATGAACCCAAAACTAAAGTTGTTGGAACAGGGAGTCCCTAAGAACTCTGTTTCAACACGCCCTCAACGCTCAACTAGAGAATTCGTGCTGCACGTACTGGAGCTTTGCGATTGCTATGGCGGTCACGAAGTTTTGTGGTTTCACTGCTCGGATAACAAAATCATTAATCATGACCATAATAGTAATTTTATAAAACCTGTGCTACACACTTCCTTTTGCAAGGAAGTGTGTACATATCTGAGTGAGTGCGCACACCACATGTTTAATACGGCTGCGTTGAGAAATAATACCAGGCTTCGACATGCAAATGATTGCACTGTGATAATTTAAAAAAGTGTCCCTGTTTCCTCCTCAGACTTTCAGAAGTGACTCATTAAATTAAAAAAACCTAGTCATTAGTAAAGAAGATTATGTTAATCATTTACTGCAGTTTACTTCTCATTGAAATGGATTTGTTACACAAGAACGGCCGGCTAATCAGGTGCCTAAGTAATATTCTGAGATTAACATCTATCATAAGATGAATGAGAAAAAGGAGCCTTCTCCTGCTCCTGAACTGGACTGATCACCTTGCCTCTAATGACTTTACAGAGTAGTTTCACCCTGTGTGATGCAACATCCAACGGTGACTACGAAAAAGAAGAAAGATTCATCTCAA